TTTGGTACTTAAGTCCGGCCTAGGAAATTTGCAAAGCCCTTRGGCTTCTTGTTTGTGTTGAAGCCACCTGTTCCAGGGATCCCAGCTTGGATTTGGCCTTACAACAAGGCCACGTGCACAGAAGGATGTGCAAACTGCTACAGTGCTAATCTGAAAACCTGCAGAGCCCACTCTCACTCAGCTCGGTACAAAATTAGTTCCTTYTAGCTGTTTTACATCACAATTTCAGTTCTTGTCTGAAAGCACTTGAGGCACCAAGGCCACAAGGTAAGCTGTGTGCACAACAAGGGGACAAGGACTGCAGCAGCACCCAGCAGATCCAGTCTGAACAGCTCTCCCAACATTACCAGGACAGACCAAAGGCTAAGGGGTGCACACGTGAGCAGGGCCACCTCCAACAGACCCACACGTTTGCTTAGAGCCCCTTGCAGTCCTGCAAGCGTGGAACAGGGTTAAAGGCCTGGATGAAGCTGAGAGCGATTCCAAAGAGCCTTTGCACCTGAAGGTCACGGCTTATCAGCGAGCTCAGCGCCCATCCTATCTCTGCATGGCTTCCTTATCTAAGCCAGGCCAAAGCTAACTTGAGGTGCTGCCCCTGACAACACTGCAGAAAGTCAGTTCTCACAAGCTTGGTGGTGCTCAGGGCACAAAAGGAAACAGGTTGTCCTGCTGGCCCTGAAATAGGTTTGTTTCCCTACAGAGAAGTCCAGGATTCAGACCAAACGTCACACAATTACAAGTTCCACTTAGGGAGCCTGCATTCAGGACATTAGAAAAAAAAAAAAGGAAAGAAAACCCCACAATAAAAATCACACCACTCACCCCAAATGCAGCAACACAGGCTGCCAGAGCTCCAAGTCAGAGCTCTGGGCCACATCAGCTGCTTCCACACAAGCAAGGTTATGGTCAGGCTGACCCGAAGCCCATTTYGGTGGCATCAGGCTCAGACTGATGGCCCGAGATAAGAGCCAGGACRTCCAATATGCCAATTACATTTGTTGCATCGTTCCAGATGCATTTTTTTTTTAACTCTGCATAAACACACAGGTTTCTGCCCACCAGAGTCCCAAAGCGGCAGGGCAAGTTGGAAAGCTCGGAGCAGTTCTCACCTCCTCACAGCTCTTTGGAGGGTTTCTAGAAGAGGAGCTTGTGGCTACGTCAAACGGGGGGGCAGGATTGGATGCTTTGGCCAGTTCCTTCTTCTGGTTGTTCTGCGTGCTGTCTAGAGACAACTCTACAGTGGCATCTGTCAAGAGAAGTTTCAAGGGTCAGCCTCTCTACTTTGCGTTACTGGAAAGGTAATTTTGGCGTGTTCTGGGAGAGGTTCATGAGCTCTAGGGAGTAACAACAGACAATCAATTATAAYACCCATAACAGGACACCTGTAAGCGTGGAGAAGAGCTCAGCTTGATGCATCTTTCAGTGCAGGAAGAGCCTGTGACAAATCCTGCTGCAGAATATGAAGTCAGTGCAGGCTGCTGCTGGCAGCAGCAACTACACAGTGGAGCAGCTAGAAGCAAGTTTGATTTTCCAGGGCATACAGACCAGCCAGGAGGCTGGGGGCCTTCCCAGTACACTTCTCCACCCAGAGGGGGTCAAAACTCCCCAAAACAGACTCTTCTCTGGGTGGCTCTGACAGAGGGGTCTCACCCAGCCAAGAAACAGGAGAGCAGTGCAAGGACTGGCCCTTCTTGTTTCCCTTTCTGAGGAATATTACGTTTCCTGGTGCCTGTGGACAGCCATATCTCAACCTTCACCTGTGTGGAGGTGGGAACAACACAAGCCTTCTGTCTCTGGGAGGACATCGCTGCCTGAACGGCTTAAAATGACAACGCAAAAGCAAACCAAGTTTTTAGGCCTCTCTGGCTCCAAAGCAGTTAATCTGCTGCAGCCAAAAACCTGGAGGAGGCTCCTCTGACCTTCCCAGAAACACCGCTAGAGCTCGGTGCTTCCAGGCTGGAATGCAAGTCTGAGAGATAAAGCTTAGGATAAACACGAATAAGTGTGGTCTGGCCAYAGACAGGGCAGGGCTAGGAGGGAGATTACTCCAGGCTTAGATTTCAGAAAGCCCCAGAAAGTTCCCAAGAGATGCAGACTCACCTGCAAATAAGTCCTGATCATCTTGCTCTTCAGGAACCCCATTCTCTTTGGAGCTGCTGCTCACTGGGAGCAGAGATTCCCTTTTTGGTGCTGTGGGCTTGCTCTGTAAAAGAATTAAAAGCATGTAAGCAAGAGGTCATTTGCACTGAGAGGCAGAGCACGGAGAAGCACAGGACCTGCCTTTCCAGCCAGTGCCGCACAGGGTCAGCGCTACGACTCCTGTAAACGACATTCCRGAGCCCAGTGGCTGGGGCCTTCCAGGCTGCCATTCCTCTCCGAGCTGAACTAAAGCAGGGCCGCAGAGCCCTGGMACGGGCTGCCCAGGGAGGCCGTGGAGTCTCCTTCTCTGGAGATCCTCAAACCCCGCTTGGACGCAGCCYTGTGCCCCGTGCTCCAGGCGACCCTGCGTGTGCAGGGCGGGTGACTAGATGATCTCCAGAGAGGTCCCCTCCAACCTTAGGCATTCCATGATTCCATGGCGGAGCCGGRGCTTCCCGCTCGACGCTCGAGCTCTCCGCACGCTCGGGCTCCACGCACRGGGCGACGCTCCAGGAAGGAGCGGAGCCTGCACAAGGACGGGGCAAGGAGCCTCCAGCTTCAGCTCACGGGGAACGAGATTTGGGGTGAAACGAGAGGTGGCCCCAGAGCTCGGGCACCCACCTGCCTGCAGGGCAGGCACAGGGACCTGGTCCTGCGGCGCCTCTCCCCGCTCCGAGCCGGCTCAAGGAGCCCCTTGTCCTGCACGCGGATCTCGCAGCAATCCCCGCGGGCCGCTCCGGCCTCGCAGGCTTTCCAGCGGCGGGTGGGCAGGCGGGCACGGAGCGCCTCTGCGGACCCGCTCACGGCGGTCTCCCCGGACGGCCTTCCCGATCCCGGGTTTCTCCGGGACGCGGGAAGCGTCTGCTCCAGCGTCACAGCAAGGTGACTCTTCTGGAACGACCCGGTCTTCATTCGCTTTAAAGTGGATTTCTCAGAACAGGAAACAACTGCCCGCTGTCCCCTCCGTGACTGCGACCCGCCTGCCGCGCCGCGAAAGCTTCGCTTTCCTCCCTAAAACTCTTTTGTTTTTGCCTCTTCTCCCGCCTCTTTCGGGCCCCTTCCCCGGGGGATGCTGCGCCCGGCCGCCGCCCGCCACTCACGGCGCCGGTGAAGATGTCCTCGCCCTCCGTGTCGCTGTCGGCCGCCCCCGGCGCGTCGCCGCCGCCGCCGCGGGGCTCGGGGAAGGGCGGCGGGAGCCGCTCGGCGGGGGAGGGGGACCGCGAGCCGCCGCCCGTCGCCATGTCCGCCCGGCCGCCGCCGCCGCTTCCGCCCGCGCCGGAAGTCGCCGCCGCTACCTCAAGGCCCGGAGCGGGGAGGGCGGTGTCGGCCAGGCGGGGGCGCGCCGCACCGCCATTGGCCGCCGCCTGCGCCCGCCCTCGGCAAGGGGAGCCAATGAGCGCCTCGCGCTGCGGCCTCCGGCGGGCGTCGCTGCCTCCCCATGGAAACGGCCACGAGCTGGGCGGGAGGGGGCAGGGGGCGGAGCCTGGGGGCGGGGCCATCGCAGCAGAGGGGCAGGGGGCGGAGCCATGGCACGGCGGGGGCGGGGCCAGGATGCGGGTTGGGGTTAGGGCAGGATGGGGGGCCCGGGAGCAGCCCCGTCCCCCGGGGCCGACCCCGGCCRCCCCCAGTGCCTGCACAGACACCTTAGGGCCCCTTCACGGGTCCCATGAGGGAGGCCAGGGCCGGCAGCACTGCACCTGGGCCAGGCCCCATCCATCCTCAGGCCGCTCCTGCKGCCCTGGCCTCCCTTGGCACTTGCCTCCAGGCTCCTCTTGCCCTGCATTCCCACTGCCTTGACTCCCCTTTCCCTGTCCTCAGCTCCCCTGGCCCTTCAGGACCTGCCCCTTGCACCCAGCTCCCCCCCCGCCTGACCCCAAGGGGCTCCTAGGGGGGACCTGCACCCAGCCTACCCCTCCCTGGTCCCTGCAAGGCCAGGGAGCAGGACAGAGGCTCGTTAATCACCACTTTATTTAATTGAGTGCTGTACACACACACACACACACACTCCCCCCAGGTGCTCCCAGCGCCCCTCCGCAGACCCGGCCGGCCCCCCGTGCTCGTGGGCGCAGGGTGAGAAGGCCACATAAGTTACCCGTGTGTCCCCGTGCTGGTGCTGCCGGGCGGGGGGCAGGCCCGGCCCCTGCCCAGCACCCAGCGCCACCCGAGTGCCCTGCACCAGGGGCGTGTTGGCGCCGCAGCTCCAAGTCCTCGCGGCGGGTCCCTGCCCGCTCCCGGCTCTCCTCCCGCTCCCGGGGCTTCAGCACGGCATGGCCGCCTCCGACGGCAGTGGAGAGCACCTGTGGGGAAAACGGGGGTCAAAGCAGCACCTTGCCGCTCCCAGGGGTGGCTTCTTATCCACCCCTCCCAGAGCTGCCTCATGGAAGAGAGAGAGGTGACCTGGGACCTTGGGGCGAGGTGGAAGGCCACCACTGGTGACCAGGATGGTGGTGGTGGTGAAGCTTTGGTGTGATGCACAGGGCATGGCAGAGCTTGGGGGCAGCCCGCGACCTGTGTGCCCCAACAGCAAAGCCTGGTACCAACCTGCAAGGTGCTGGGGTCACCAACCCAGCGTGGGCAGGAGCAAAGACAGCTGCAAGAAGCACCTCAGCCCAGAGAGGCAGGGCTGGTGCCTCCACGGTTGGTGCCTCCCATGGTTCCCTCATGATTCCCAAGGGACCAGCGAGGCCCTGGCCTCCACTGTACCCAGCCAGCTCCAGGCGAGAAGCCTGAGCAGATGTGATGTCCTCCGCCATAAGAGGCCCTTGCAACACCCCTCACCAGGGCCTGCTTGTGCTGCAGAACCARAAGGGGAACAGAAAGAGGCAGGATTTCCAAGCACAGGGTCAGGAGCCAGGCAATACTCACTCCATCTTGGCCTCCARGTGGTGGATGGTCTGCTTGTCCAGGTAGCGGCAGAAGAGCGAGAGGAGGTTGCTGGGCAAAAAGAGAGGCTCCACCAGGGAGGTCTTGGGTACTTGAGAGAGTTCCCGAGCAACCAGGAACACGGTGTCCGTCCTGGGGGCACAAGTGCCATAGTGAGCGGGACCCCCTGCCCCAGCCAGCAAGGCCTGYCCTGCCATGGGACCTGAGGGACAGGTCCTCACCACTTCTCAAAGTCGCCCGTGTGCGGCTCCAGCGGCGCATCGGAGGACAGCAGCTTCTCGCCGTGACTCAACAGGGCGTAGAGCAGAGAGATCCCAAACTGCAGGCAACAAGGAGGAGCATCGCAGCCATTCCCTACCACCATGGTGTCCCCATGGGTCTTGGGATTCCTCAGGGCTGAGTACCTGGTTCTTCAAGGCCAAGGTGAGCGSGAGCTCGGTGGACTCAGGCAGAGGCCTGGTCATCTCCTGCAGGACCTCGATGAGCTTGCTGAAGGTTGTCCTGCCCACCATCTCATTGAGAGGGCCGTAGAGCAGGGGGAGAGACTGGGCAGGGCAGAGGGGAGAGCAGGGAGCTGAGACCCTTTGACCCATCACAGCTGCAGCCCCAGCCTCGAGCCCCATCCCAACACCTGCACAGGGATGCGAGGACCAGAAGGGTCCCTTGATGGACAACTGCAATCAGGACTGCTTTATTTAATCCTTCCTAGGGGCCTTTCCCCTCTGGAGAAGAGTGAGGCCAAGCGAGTCCCCTCACTCTCTAGAGGAGTGAGGCCAAGAGCCTGTCCTCTGCATCCATCCTCTTCTCCCCCACCTCATGCCAACCCCACCAGCTGCCTGGGCTTACTGGGAGCCAGCCGGAGGGTGCCCTAAGGAAGAGCAATGGGAGGAAGCTGCAGCCCCAGATCGAGAGACTCGCCTCGTCCAGCAGGTCCTTCTTCATGAGGAAGGGCAGGTGGTGGGTGATGGTCAGCAGGATCTGCTCCGCCTGCTCCTCGGCCAGGTGGGGCAGCAGCCGGGCCGTCAGCTTCTTGCCCTTGCGGACACACAGGACTTGCAAGAACTCGTCCTCTGCCTCCCTGGGGAGGAAGGCTCTGTTCATACAGGCCCTGAGGACCGGGAGCCCCACTGCCCAATCTGGGAGAGCAGCCAAAACCAAGGAAGAAGAAATCCAGCCCCCTTGGCTCAGTCCCCAGACCTTCCCACTCGCCCACAGCGGGTCACCCACGACAGTCAGAGCCCTGCATGGGTCAGGAAGTGCTGCCCGCTCCCGCACTGCGGCACAACTCACTCCTCACTGCTGCAGGTCTTGATTTTCAGGGCCTGGTAGATGCGCCCCACTTCCTGGCTCTTCTGCTCCTCAAAACAGGGCTGCTGCTCCTCCGGGGCCAGGGACATCTTGCGCTGCGTCTCTTCTACTTCGAGCAGCTGCAGGAACATCTGGAGAAACAGCACGAGCTAAAGGAGCAGCTTGGAGCACCCTCCTGCCCCCAGGTACCTGTGTCCCGGCCATGGCAGAGAGCGAGGCTGAGCTTCACCCAGCCCTGGCCGTGCCCGTGACGAGGCCTCTGCCTCCTCACCCTCTCAATCCTGTGCAGCGCGCGAAGCCGGTGGCTCCCTGCGGCCTGCACGAGGGGAGAAAGGAAGACACAGCTACAGCAGCACCAGGCACCGCGGGCGGCAGGGCGCTGGGCCAGCTGCTCCCTGGGCAGCAGACCTGGCTTCAGGACACACAGCGACCCCACGGAGGAGACCACGGCCAGGTCAGACCGCCTAGAACCCCATCCCTCAGCGTGGGACACGCCGGGGACCTGCCACCCACCTGGGTGTCACCCGACCCAGTGCCCCATCCCATGTGCTAAGGGCAGCATCAAAAGCCAGGGCAGCACCCAGGGCGAGCRCAGCACCCTGAGCTCCTAAAGCTCCCGCCGAGCTGCTCCAGGGTGTGGGGAGAGCTCGGAGCTGCGGCRCCCCACGTACCTCCTCCACGAGGGCATGGTGCACGGCATCGATGGCGCGGCGAGGGCTGTAGCAGGTGGACACAGCGACCTGGCCCAGCGAGCCCGCGATGCGCACCACTGCAAGAGAGGCRGGCGTGCTGAGCGCGCCCCACGTGCCCCACGGCGCCCGCCCGCGCCCCAGCCCCTCACCCGAGTCGTAGGTCTCCACTTTCTGGATGAACGGCGTGACCAGCTTGGGGGGCTCCTGCTTGTTGCGCCCGCCGAGCAGCTCCTCCTCGGCCTGCTTGCGCTCCAGCCGGTGGTAATAGGTCTGCAAGGAGGGGCAGAAAGGCAGGGGAGGGCAGAGGGAGTCAGCGGGGGACCCCGCCGTGTCCCTGAGGCTGCTCCGCTCCGGATGCTCCAAGGCCCCTGCAGGGGGGGGGTCAGCCCCAGCAGCCCGGGCGCTCTCTGGGTGCCAGAGCTAGGAATTGCTGACCACGGATCGGGATGCAGCGTGGCATGGCAGCCCGGGAGCTCGGAGCTGCCCGGGAGGAGCTTTGGCTCCGGCYGGCTGGCATTACCACCTCTTCGGGCACTCACCTGGTAGTAGTAGTCGTCATCCATGTTCTCGCTCTGGAGCTGGATCATCTGCACTTTGATGACCCAGTCCTTCTCCTTGCTCGTCATGAGCCCACCATAAGGGTCCGCTTTGGGGGCCCACAGCTTCTTGGGGGAGATGCTGTCACAGAAGAGATGGCCCCGGGGYGTTAGCGCCGGCACCTCACCAGTACCTGCTGCGCCGGTGGTCCCGGGAGCCCCTCACCTCTGCGCCTGGCCGCCCTGCTGCTGCCGCTGCGTCAGGATGCGCTGGTGCTGGGGGTGCAGCTGCGTCATGTGGCTGGGCACGCTGCAAAGGAGGCCACACGAGGGCTGAGGACAGGGCAGACGGCGCTGGCTCCAGGAGCCATCCCCAAGGAACTGCTAGCTCCTCGGCTGAGGCTGAAGCAACCCCCCTCCTCCTCCTGCTGCTGCTGCTGGCCTTCCCGCTACCTGAGGTTCAGCTGGCCACTGGCTGATGGGCTGAAGAAGAGCGAGGGGTCCAGCGACGGGGACACGGGGCCGAAGTGCATGGCGAGCGGGCGCAGCGGCGTGCCCAGGTTGGGCGACACGGGCCCGAAAGGCGCTGGAGACGCAAACCCTGTGGCCTGCAGAAGAGCAGCGTTTGGACCGCCCTGTCCCGTTCCTGCCAGCACCCAAACCTGGGGTCCTGCTGGGTGCACTGAGCAGGGACTGCAAAGCTCCAGGGACCGGGCTACCCGCCGTGCGTTGCTGGTGCTCACACCGCAACACCGAGCACAACAGCGGGCCCCGCTCAGGGCACCTGGGGCAGAGGCAGCTGCAGAGCAGCCGCTGCGCAGGTGGCTCCGCTTTGCCCATCACGACAACCACGGAGAAGGGGGTGCGGGGGTAGGCGAGCGGCTGCGCGCAGCCCAGAGCTCTACCTGGCTGGACGCGAAGAGAGGAGGCGGCCGGCGAGGCGGCGCGAAGGGCCGAGCCGCGAGCGGCGGCGGCGGCTGCGGGCAGGAGCGCGGAGCGGTCACGGGCCGGGCGGACACGCCGGCCCCAGGACCGCCCCGTGGCGTCCTGGGGTCCTGCCCTTCCGTGGGGCCGAGCGGGCAGAGCCGTTACCTGCCGGAGGAAGCGCTGTGGGAAGGACTTGGGGGACATCACTCTGAAGTCGGGGCGCTTGAGCCTGGGCGAGCCCGCAAAGCCCCTCTGCACCGGCGAGCCCAGGAAGTCGAGGGGCACGCTGGCGGCGGGAGGGGGCCGCTCCAGGACCTGCAGGATGGCTTTGTCCTGTGGATGGGGGGCACAGGGAACATGTGCCAGGGCAGCGCAGGAGACCCTGAGCCACCCCGCGCTCCTGGACCCTCCTCTCGGACAGGGGCTTGGGGGGCACATCTGGATGCCCTCGGCACCCACCTCCAGCACGTGGTGGGGCGCGAGGCCGGTGGGGCAGGAGCTCCACGCAGCAGGATCCAGGGGCAGCTGGAAGACACGGGCGGTGAGCGAGGCAGGAGGYGCCCGCGGCGCTGCCCGCGGCCACGCGCCTTTACCCCGTCCTCCTTGGCAAGCTCTGCCCAGGCCGCGCCGATCCTGCTGTCCAGCACCGCCGAGTCCTGGCTCTGGGGGCAAAGGGAGAAGAGGGGGGCCCTCAGCGCCAGCTGCCATGCCCGGAGGCAGCGGGAAGGAGGAGCGAGCGGGGGGCGGCCGGGCAGGGACCACGTGTCCCCCTGCCCYGCTCGTGCATCACCTCCAGCGGGGGCTTGCTCTGCACGGCTCTCATCACCGCCGGGTCGCCCAGGTCGTTGGGCTCCTCCTCAGGCTCCTGCTCTTCCTCGGGCTCCTCAGCGCCCAGCTCCTCCTCCAGGTAGTCGTCCTGTTCGGCTTCCAGCTCCAGGGCTCCTTCCCCCTGGGGCTCCCCCAGCTCTGGCAGCAGCAGCTGACCCTCATCGGCTCCGGGCGCCGGCTCCTCCGCCTCCTCCACCCCGGCCAGCTCGGGGCTCTTCTCTGGAAGCACCAGGGCTTTTGCAACATCCTCTTCGGTGGAGTCGTGATCTTCGGGGCAAAAGCAGAGCACACGGTGGGTTCTGTGCCCAGCCCAGCTCCTCAGGAGGCCATCGAGGCCGCAGCCTCCTCACCGGCCTCATCCTCACCAGGCGCAGAGCTGCGGGTGAAACCCTGCTGCCCACAGCGCAGCCRCGTCCCCCAGGGCTCCCCTGGGCCTCACCTAGCCCAAAAGTCATCTCGTTGTACAGGTCAAGCTCTTCATCCTCCTCGGCCATTTCCTCCAGCAGAGGCTCATCTTCCACCAGCAGGTAATCCTCTAAGATCTGAGGGGGGTGAGAAGGGGAAGGCAGCAGGGCCCCCGTTAACCGAGGCCAGGAAGGGGCGCCCCTAACCTAACCTAGCCCAGCTGCTGGGGCACTAGCCCTGCCGCTCCTGGCTGGGGTGGTTCTTGCAGCTTTGCCCCACGTTAGGGGCACCCGGCCCCTCTCTCCCCTTCCCCGGGGGGTGTACGGGGAAGGTGCAGCACTGCGGGGAGCTGCGAGCCCCAGGGCTCGCTCCGTAGGTCGGGGAAAGCACAACCGGCAACACGGCACCCGCAGCACCACCGGCGAGAGCTCAGCCATTCGCCCGCCAGCCTGGCTGCTCCCCGTGCCCGAGCAGGGAGCCGCGCGCCGGAGGAGGGCTGCGCCCCCGGCCAGCCGGCCAGCGCGGGCGCGCCACCATTAGGCTTCAGAGTGAACGGGAGGCGGCGCCGGGGGCGGGGCGGGCACTCACGAGGCGCTCGCCGCCCTCCGCCATGCCGCGGCGCCGCCGCCCTGCCTGGGGCCGCCCCCTCCCGCCGCGCGCCTTTTATGGGCCCCCTGCGCATGCGCGCGCGCGCCGCCTGCCGTACAGCATGGTGGCCCCCACGCGCCTTTTACGGGCTCCCGCGCATGCGCGCGTGCCCCCGGCCGTACAGCATGGCGGCCCCCAGTGGCGCCGTGCGGCTGCGCACTCGCGGCGCTCCGGGGAGCAGCCGGGCGGCCGCCGCCGGGGCGGGGGGCGACGCCGCTGGCCACCGGGGCGCTGCGATCTTGCCCCGGAGCAGGCCACTGCGCGCACGTTGCTTAGCGCTCATACGGTGCTTAGCGTGACTTTCACTATAGCTGTGCGCCCCCAGCAAGGGAGCCTGGTGTCCCCGCGGTGCTCGCTCGCGGCGCATCTCCCCCGGGGCCTTATCCCTCTTCCCCAGCGAGGGTGAGGTGGCAGCCGGGCCGCGAAGTCACCGCGGGGTCCCGCCGGGCCGAACCGGGCCGGGAAGAGGAGGCGCCGGTTGTCGCCGTCAAGGCGCGGCCGCGCAAACGAAAGCGAAAGCGGCTCGGCCAACCTCAGCGCGCCGCTTCTGCCCGGAGACCGATGACGCGCGGGGCGTCCCGGCGCCGCCGATTGGCCGCGCGGGGCGCCGCGGCGCCGCCGATTGGCCGGTCGCGGCGCGGGTATAAAGAGAGCGGCGGGCGCGCGGGCGCGCTAGTGAGAGCGGGCGACATGGAGCCGGTGCGGCAGGCGCTGCTGGTGCTGCTGGTGGCCGTCGTGGGCCTGCAGGCGGCCACGCGTGAGCTGCGGGGCGAGGGGGGCGGCACGGGGCTTGGGGGGGGGCTGAGGCCATCATGACCCCAACGCTCGCCCAACGCTCGCCCAACGCTCCGTCCCTTCCAGATGCGCCCAAGGTGCAGGTCTACTCCCGCCACCCGGTCACGTTCGGCGCCGAGAACGTCCTCAACTGCTACGCGGAGGATTTCCACCCTCCCAAGATCCACATGACCCTCCTGCAGGACGACAAGCCCATGCCCAACGTGCAGTACTCGGACATGTCCTTCAGCGACAACTGGACTTTCCGGCGCCTCGCCTACGCCGCCTTCGTGCCCGCCAAAGGCTCCGTTTACACCTGCAGGGTGGAGCACGTCGCCCTCCCGGAGCCGCAGACGTTCAARTGGGGTACTGTGCCTTTCCTCCTCGCTCACGAGGGAATTCATTAGGAAAAAAAGACTTGTTTGAGTATAAGGGGAGGTCCTGTCGGTAGCTGGTTCCTTGACCTCCACGGTGAGGGAACCTAAGGAAGGGTATGGCTGGTATTGGGGTGATCTCTGGCTTTGAAGCAGGGCTAAGGAGACCAGCACTTAATGTTTAGATCCGCACTTGGTGAAGTCATCTCTCTCTCATCGCGTGGCTTGAGTTTTGGGCCACAAACAGGCTCGGGGAGCGGGTGTGGGYGCCGTGCGTCACAACAGGCGCGCGCAGCCCTGGCAGCGCAGCCCTGTTTCGTGCAGAAGAGCGGGCCGCGGTGAGAGAAGGGCTTGTGTTTGCTGAGAACGAAGCCTGAGGCTCTGCTTTTCCTTCCTGCAGATCCAGACTTCTAGGCTGCGCCTGGGATAGCTGTGGTAAGTTGCTCTGAGCCCTGATCGCAGGGCGGACGCGGTCTGTGGGGGCAAGGCCATCGCGGGCAGAGCTGAAGAACGAAAGCAGCCCTCGACAAAACCGCTCTCCACCGTGGTGCCAGCGATCCRGGAGCGCGGTTGTCCTGAATTACATGAGCCAATGTATGATGATGCCTAGACAACCCCTCCCAAGAATCCCCCTGGCTCAAAAGGAAGCAGCTGTTTGGGGAAAAAAACCCTCATTCCTGCCCCCTTGGCATGTTTGTTGGATACCTTCTGAGTTGTCACAGAGTGTCCTGCATCCCCCTTGGCTGCCTCTTGGGGGAAGGCAGGTCCTGGTTAACCCTGCACGAGGCTCGGGAAGGGTGAAGGGTCAGCTCCGTAACGGGATTCCCGAGGAAGGGACAACACGGACTGTGCTGGAGTTTGAGGGCAGGAAGCTAGAAGCTGGGACAATAGAGGCAAGAGCAGGCTCGAGAGTGAGACTGTCATCAGTCTCACAGATAGGATTTGGGGTGGAAAACACAGGCTTTTGTAATAGAGCAATTACGAAAACTTACAAAGACTTAAGGCACCCATGGAATAGGGGACAGAAAGCAGATTTTTGCAGGGTGGGAAGGTGAGAGTCTCAGTTCACACGTGGAGTGTTTGAAATTTAAGCTAATCTCTTTTTTCCTGATGCAGGTTTCACAGCTTGCAAGCTGATACCTACTTAAGTTTTTGTCCCTTTTTCACGTCCCGCTTGATGAGGAAGATGAATCATCTTGATCGCACACGAAACGCCTTCTCCGTAGAGTGCTGTCTGCCAGAGCTGAAATGCTAGCATTAACTCGCTGGRTTGCGTTCCCTGCCTTCTTCACCGTGGAATTAAAATGCTGGGGAATTAAGATGGGAGGAAAAGCACGTGGAGGGCTCTCTGCCCTCGAGGCAGATGATCCACAAACGCAGCAGTGCTCCAGAACCTGCTCCGAACTGGCAGGTTCGGATGGTGATTTTAGAGGAATCAAGTTTTTGTAAAGCACTGGCCTCTTCTTGGAGATGAATGATGTCATTGYGTTCTGTTGAGCCCTTTGGAAGTCCTGCCCATTTGAAACATCTGCTTGTCCTGATAGTTTTGGCTGCATCCTCAGCTGTGTAGGTTGGTAGGAGCACTTTTAATAGAGCAACTATTAAAGCTTTTAATAAAAAATTAAATTGCATAAAACTAAATTGCCTGAATTTTTTAGAGGCAGCGTGCTACCTAGGCATTCTCTGTGCATGTTAACTGTATATCTACATTACCAATTAAATGATTATGCAACTTTTTAAATGCTGAACTGTACAGAATATTTTACCTAAATACAATTGGAAAATGTGATCGCGTCCTGTCTTTCTGAGTAGGAGGGCACATGCTTCACTGGGGCCGCACGAAGAGCTATGCTTGTGTCTGGGTTTGTCCCAAAGAGACAGGAGCAGAAGGTTTCCTGTAGTTCTCTGCCTTTCGTGATGCATTTTGAGTGCTTCTGTCTCTGCTGCTGCCCGTCCAGTAAAGGAATCCTGTTATTCCTGTTGTTCTCTACCTCTTTTGATTGCTCTTGATGGCGAGCAGGGAGTCCTGTTCGGTTTCCCCTTCCTCCAAGGAGCTCGCCGACTTGTCAGGCTTTGCTGGCTGCCGGGTTGTGGGTGAAGCTGCGGGTGGTGACACCCTTCCGAGTTGCCCTTTTCCCCACGCAGGAACATTGAACATTTGGAGAGCAGCCGCTTAGGGAGCTTAGAGTGGGCCCCCGAGCTGGGAGCGCTGAACCTGCCGGCTCCAGCTGGGCTCAGTGGGGCTGAGGCGGCTGCTTTCACTTCCCAAATGGTTTTCTCTTTGGTGAGCAGTCTCCCCAACAGGGAGCGAGTCTACTTTAGGGTCAGGTCCTGTGTCGCACCGCAGGGCGAAGCAGATTTTGGTGGGAGCTTCCCCAAAAGGGTGGTACTATGGAAGCTACTTAGCTCAACCCTGCAGCCYGTGTCTGCTTCTATTTTATGGGAGGATGAGTACAACTACTTCACACTTACACCGTTATTAGGATTAGATTGCATAGATCCATGAACAAGGCATCCTAGCAAGTACGTTCAACCTGGAGCACGTGGTCCACCCTCCTTATTTTGGGGTGGAATATTAGGATTTACAACGAGTTGGAACTGCCAAGATCAAACAGTCCCTCATGATCCTGGCCTGCTGCTGTACCCTCTTCCATTACAAWTGCTTTCTGTGCAAGGTGAGGACAAACACTGTCCTACACAAACTTCTATCTTCCSTGTGCTTTGCTTGAAAATACATTTTGGGCAGAACTGAATTGTTTACTGCAAGTCTCTCTTGGCTTCTGATTAAAATTATCCAAAAACGCTGGGAGGAAAGTGCTCTTCATGTTTCCTCTGAGAGAGGAGTCTTGTTTCGAGAAATCAATTTTAATCTTAGTTTTTTGGACTGCTTGGCAGCAACTGAGTGCAGGGATTCACGTTCGTGCTCTCCCATCGTTCTTGTCTTTTTCCGGTGTTATCCCAAGGGTGGCGGGTGGGATGCAGGTGCCCCAGGAGACCGACGTTCTGCTGAACATCAAGGCAAGGTGCCTGTGGTGCCTCTCGTCCTGTGCGGGTGGACGGCACGTCCTGGCTCACCCTGCTCTGGGGCTGTCACCGGGGGCCACCACCCCCTTCCAGAACCTTCCAAGAGCCGCCCAGACAGACAGACAGACAACCAAGGTGAGCCGCGGGTGGCACGAGCCCACCAGGGCCGTGGGATGGGGCCCTTGGGGTTGCCCTGGGCTGCCACCTGCCTCTCCTCRGAGACCCGGACCTGCAGCAGCATCTCGCCCCGCGTCACCGAGACGCGGCCGGGTCTCACCGCGGTCCCCTTTCTCAGGCAGGACATGCTCTTCACTCCGCTCCGAGCTGCTTTCTCCCACCATGATGTCACCCGGCGCAGCCGCCGCGCTCCCCTCGCCGGCGTCCGGCGGCGAGGCCGACAGCCTGCCCGAGCTGCCCCTGCCCTTGCCCGGCGATCTCCTCGGCAAGGACTTGTCCTGCACCATCTGCCTCAAGTGGTTCACAGAGCCGCTGATTCTGCCCTGCGGCCACAACTTCTGCAAGCCGTGTCTGACCGACACCTGGGCCAGGGCGGCGGGTGCCACTTGCCCCGAGTGCCAGGCCGAGGTCCCAGGCGGGCAGTACATAGAAAACACGGTGCTGGCAAAGGCCCTGGAGAGCCTCAAGGGCTTCCAGGTGGAGCAGGGCGAGCAGAAGTGCGGCGAACACGACAAACCCCTCACGCTCTTCTGGAAACCAGATGGGAAGCTGGCTTGTTTGTCCTGCCGGGAGGCATCCAAGGAGCAGAGCGACCAGTTTCTGCTCGTCTCCGAGGCCGTGCAGCACTACCTGGTGGGTGCGTGTGAGCACGGTGAGACCCTGGCTGGTTATTTGGTGGTGAAGCAAATAAACCTGGGCGCAGTTGGTCTTCTGTGTTGCAAAAGCTCCTCAAATTTGTCCCACCGAGGYACTGCAAAGCCTGGCCTTCAAGGCCAGCTGTGCCCTGAGCAGCGGCGCTGCAGGAGAAGCTGGGCTGCGAGGGAAGAAAAGCTCTTTTCTAGGAGATTTCAAGCAAGAGCAGCAGCTCTGTGGCTGGGCAGAGGGTCTGCTCGCTTGCAGGGGCCTTGCCCAAGCTGAGATCTTCCGATTAAGCGGTGCTTTAGGCTGAGGGTATGAACCGTGGTGCTGCGGCAATGCACCCACCGCGTAGGTGCACCCTCCTCCAGTCATTGCTCCTCTCACATATGTTAAGCCAAGAGAAGGGATTTGCCCCGTGCTCCCCAGGGCAGCGAGGAGGCTCCCGGGCCACGTGTCTCTCGGCCACGTGTCTCTCGCCGACAGGAAAACCTGATCCTGATCCGGAGCCGCGTGGAGTGCACCCTGCAGAAGCTGAAGCCCCTGTGGCAGAGGCAGAAGGAGCAGATCGCGTCCCACCTGGTGAGTGGCATTCGCTGCGGCTCCCCCAGAGCAAGGGGGCCCTACAGGTGCCCAACCACAGCTGTGGCGGGGATCAGGGGTCGTAACCAGCGTTTCGGTGAAAAGCTTCTCCAGTCTTTCCAGGGGACCAAGTGTTGTAGGGTACCTGGCTAAGTACGAAGCACGCAACAAGTCTCCTTTGTGGCTTATGAGCTACAAGCAACTTTGCTGAGAGCAAAGTGCTTCCCAGGTTAACACAGAATCCGTGTTTTTAGGAGAACAGGTTGCTTCTTCAGCAGAACATCTCTTTGGAGTTTGTCAAGCTTCACCAGTTCCTCCACGACAGAGAGAAAAGACTAATGGATGAGCTGCAGGAGAAGGGGAAGGTCTTTCTTCAAGACATGCAGCTCAATATGGGCGTCCTCCAAGAAAAGTGGAACCAAGCAAAAGAGATACTGACTCACATCCAGTCCCGGCTCTACCGCCACAACTCCACCAGCTTCCTAACAGTGAGAAATTAAGGTTTACATAAAAAAAAAAAAAAAAAAATCAGAAAAGAGAAGAGCGGGTTAGCAAAGAAAGAACCTGGGGAATGTGGGGCTTCCTTGGAAAGGAGGGATGGGGAACAATTAAAGATTAGTAATTACGATTAGTATTTGTAACCTTACARTTCTCTGTGGCTGAGCTCTGAAGACCAAGTTTCAAAATATAGACCAGCTCCTGACAAATATTGTGGGTTATCACCAAGGACACCTGCATGGAAATAAGCTCCTAACCGTGTTGCTCCTGCCTGCTCCTGCTGTAGAAATTTCACAGCAGCAAGAAATGCACGTGGTCTGGGCAGAAAATCAGTACGGGCAGAAAGGACTCAGGAGTCACCAAAATCCCCTTAGCTAAACCTGGAGGCCAAATTCCATGGCCACCCAGCACTCYTCTAAGAAGGAGAAATGCTGCTGGCTGGCACGGCTTCTAGCCCAGGCATTTCTGGCACTTTGGTGGGGATGAGTTTGGGATCCGCTCCAAGCGTTAGGAGAAATGCTCCTAACATTGGAGCATTTTTGGACGCTCCTAACATTGGAGCATCCTAACGCTTGCTTGCTTGCTTGCAATTGCAAGGGGAAGGGTGCCCGGTCCCCAGAGCACCAGGTGCCGATTAGAGCCCAGCTAAGCAGGGCTTCCCTCAGCGATGGCACCGCTGCTCAACATCTCCTCTTGCCTTTTGTTTAACAGGACATCAAGGCCTTCATGAACTGGTAAGTGCAAGCAGTTGTTTAAAAGAAATTCCCTAAAAATGAGTAAGCCTCAAAGACTCCAGCTTCCTATATTGCATCTCACTATGAATAATCATGTAACGTGAAAATGGGCATACTTGGGTGTACTCAGCTTTGCTGAAGTAGCCAAATCCACAGGCAGAAAATATTCTGCTCAAACCATGAGCGTGGCGGAGACCTGGCTGGGTCGCGTGTGTCTTGGCCGTGCATGGTCCTGCCGAGCCCCGCAAACCCGGCCGCCGTGCGGCATTCCCTCCATGCTCCCACACTACCCAAGATGACAACTTGTTGCCTGCTCAGCTTGCAGGAGAAAGCCCAGGGCCTGTCCGAGGGCCAGCTCGTCTGCCGGGAGCTCAGCCTGGGGCAATTCAAGGGGCCCATCCAGTATGCCGCGTGGAAGGAGATGAAATCCGTACTCAGCCCAGGTAAGGAGATGCTGCTTGGTCTCCACCACGTGTTTTGCCACCAGCTGCAAGGTGAGGTCACGCCTAGCATCATGACAGCAGCTCCTCCAGAGCTGCCCCCACAATGAATGGGGACCAGGCAGTGAAGGAGGCCCCAGCCTTGGTCTCATTCTATTTTTTTCTGCAGAAATCGTTCTTTTACAGCGATTCCAGACAGGACTTCTGCTTCCTGTGGCCACCTTGAAGAGCCTCAGCAGTCTCACTACTACAGAACCAGGACCTCCATACGAAGAGCCACACTTAGCGTTCCCTTCGCCAAGTTCTTCTCCTTTCCCCCCTAGGGCTGTCCTTGATAACCCTGGACCCCAGAACCGCGCACCCGAACCTCGTGCTGTCTGCGGACCTCACCAGCGTGAGGCACAGTGACACCAAACAGGCGCTGCCCGGCGCCCCGGAGAGGTTCGACGCCAGCATCGCGGTGCTGGGGGCACAAGGCTTCACCGCCGGGAGACACTACTGGGAGGTCGAGGTGGAGAAGAAGCCCAAGTGGACGCTGGGGGTGGTGAAAGGCTCCGTCAACCGCAAGAAGAGGCGCCCGCTCTCGCCCGGGGAAGGCTACTGGGTCATCATGTTGAGAAACGGGCGCGAACTTAAAGTGCTGGACGTGCCCCCCAAAGGGCTGCTCCTGCGGGCGCCCCTCACCAAGATCGGCGTGTTCCTGGACTACGAGGGCGGGCAGGTGTCCTTCTACGAGGCTCACGCCATGTCGCATATCTACACGTTCCGGGACGCGTTCGCGGAGACGCTCTACCCCTACTTCTGCCCGTGCCTCAACGAGGCCGGGGAGAACAGCCACCCGCTGCGGGTGTTTTCCACCGAAACCTAACGCGGGTCCCTGAGCTGCTTCCRAACACCATTACAGCCCCGCTCGCATGCCCAGTGTCTCGGTGTTTCATTTACAACTATCCCCACTGGTTTCACGGCGRGAGGGGTGGAGATACCAGGGCTAGAGCCACGAAAACAGGGGGATTTGGGGCAGGTTTGTGGGGATTGGTGCCCAGCAGGGTGCTGGGGCCTTTCCCGCCCAGCAGGGCCCGTTGCCTCAGCGCCGCCGCCATGTTCGGCGGCCGCCGTGCCTGGTTCTCCCGCAGCGTCAGCCCGCACCTGCAGGAGCTGTGGGGTGAGGGCGGCCCAGCGCCCATGTGGCGTTTTGGGGGGACTCGGTGACCCCCCAGGGACAAAGCCGTGGGGCAGAGCCCCCTCGGGGCGGAGGGCACAGAGGGGACGGGGTGCCGCCATTTCGCCAGGGGAGGCCGAGGGGGACACGGAGCGTGGGGGTGCCCTGTGTCCCCCCCCGGCCTCATGTCGCTCTCCGCCGCAGAGGCCGAGGGGGGGACGCTGGCCCGGCGCGAGGACGCCCATTTCCTCTTCAGCAGCGACGCCACGCACCCCGACACAAGGAGGTAGCCGCCCGCCCGCCCACCGCCATCCCACAGCACTCAGACTCTCCCTTTCCCCCTCTGCCCTCAACAGTCTTTGTAAAACTTATCATTATTTTTTTTTCCCTATAAAACAAGGTGACATTTTTTCACATGGGTCTGGGGTGGGAGTTTCTGCCACAGGCAGCCCGAGCCAGCGCTAATGCTGGTAACTCCGTTCAGCACTTCCCAGCAGGAAAAATTCAGCCGGTCGGATCCAGCACGCTGCCGGTTCGGCGTGGGAAGCGGAATGGGACGGCGCTGATAAAGCTGCACACGGGAGGAAGCGCCGCGGCCGCCACCACCATCCCGCTGTCCTTAACCTTGGGGCTRGCCCTCCGCGCGGAGCCGAGCGCCTGAATGCACCTCGGCCCTTGCAGTGCACTCAGCTAATCCCCAAACACACCTCGGCCCTTGCAGTGGACTAAATTAATCCCCAAACGCAGCCCAGCCCTTGCGGTGCACTCAGTTAATCCCATCGTTTTCGCCTTTTGACCAACTTTGAACAAAACCTGGGGCTCAAAACCAAGCTGGCGTCACCCTTGGGGCCGCAGTGTAAATAAGGAAGGATAAGTAAGGAAAAAAACCCTCCCCCCAAATTAACTCCTTTAAAAAGTCAAGATTTAATTTAAAAAGCCTCTATATGAGCTGGAAAAGGGCTAAATTGCTGTTCTTTTTTCCTGCTTTTTTGTTTAAAACGTGATGTTTTGCAGGAGAATTGCAAACTAAAAATGATAGGAGCTCTTCTCCTGTTCTTTGTGGAGATGCCCTGGTGGGAATGGCCACGTGCAGGTTCYTCCTACTGCCGTGCACCTGGTCTCCTAAAGGCTGCAATAAGCAGGAGCTCAGCACGTTATGGCTTCATGTTGGCTTAGATTTTCTAGTCCTTCAGCCACCGGTGCTGGCCGTGGCAGGAGAAAGGATCCCCCAATAATGATTTTCCATCAGGCGCAAAATCCCTCGCCCATCCTGCTGGGCTGTGGGTCATAGGCTACCACTTGAGGGGCAGAAGCCTTTTCTATGGCTATGCGAAATTGTAAATATTCAATATTTCACTATTCCCCCGAGCTCCGAAACATCRCGGTCGTGGGTTGCAGAACAGCGCTTACCTGGTCCCCGGGCTCGTCCTCCAGGCCGTGCTAAGCCCGTGCCAGGCGGCTGAACCTCGAGATGAGCCTCAGAGCTAGGAAATACCCGCGTTTCTTTAGGTGCTACAGGGCAGACATCATCACGCCTTAGCTGAAGCTGCCAGCTAGCCTTGTCCTTCCCAAATAATCACTGCCCAAGATAACTATGTTTTGCTTTGTTTTTTTTTTTTTTTTCCAGGCTTACCTTTAGAAACCAGATGTCTTTTTTTTTTTTTTCCTCTCTTGCAGAGTACATGAGAGCCAAGATTACTTGGACGGCAGAGCGACGGTTTTTCACTCTTGTTATCTCTCCGCATGGGCAAATACCAGCTCGGAAATGAAACAGTCAGTAGCGCTGGGTCACTTCATTCTGCCACCTGCTTGCTTGCAAGAAGGTTAGGGAGAGCCGGCTTTTGCTCTGTGTTATTCCCTATAAACACAGACATTTGGGGGGATGCAAAACTAACATCAGGCTCCACTTAGTGCTGCTCTGAGGGGGGATAAGCTCCTGCTGGGGGTAAAGAAGTGAAAGCCCAGTTTATTACCTTGCATAAGCGAGCAATGCCATTCAGAGGGCTTCTGCCAATGTTCCTGGGTTCGTTAGCAACTGCTTCTGCAGGTCGGGGTAGGGGCAGTATCACTAGTGCTTTCACCTTCATTTGCTTCTGTTCATGGCAGAAATCAGAAGAAAAATCGGTAGTTTTATTTGGGAGCAGATGGACGACCCCCCTGTGGAAAAGGTAAGATGAGAAAGTACATACAGGTGGTGCTGAYCATTAAAAAAGATCATAATTTGAATCAAATCACCTCAGGAACCCCTGAAATGTATAAAGACAACATCCCTACTGTGCCACAAACATGCCCTTGCTGTCTTTGCACACTGCGTGGAGGCACCAAGCACACAATTTTGATTTAACTCTGTGTCGATAGTCACCGCGCAGCAAAAGTCTACTTGAGGAACCAGASGTGGGGAGGAAGGACAGCGAGCAGGAGGTGGAAGGTGCACTAGATCCGCCTGAAAGGTATTTTCCGGCCATGTGCAGGGCCTGTGTCGTGGCCCGGCTGCGTGGTGGGCAGGGAGCCGGGCTCTCCTCGGGCACCCAGGCTGCTGGCGCGGCCGGAACCGCGTGCCGCCGGGAACGACGCATCCAGCTCTTCTCCCCCAAAACAGCGGTGAACGCAAGCCAGATTCCAGAGAAACAAGCCAGGGGGAATTCGCGTACCACGCGCTTCAGGAATACCCGGTGAATAACATGGTGACAGGTAAAGCTTAGCACGGGTAGGTGTTCAAGTAGAAAATAAGCCTCGTAGTGACAGGAGATGCTGATGAAGCAGAGCCCATGTTCAACCCAGGCTATGGGCTTCATTTAACAAGTGCAACACTCTTGGTTTCGATACCTCTGCACTGCAAATAGTGGTGCTGCAGTAATTGCTCTACATATAAGAGGCTGATGTAAATCTTAGAACCCAATTTTTCCCAGGTGTTCCCTGGAATCTGTGTCCAACCCTTAGAAACTTCCAGAGCAAAAACAGCCACGGGCACTGCAGCTTCAGTCACTGCCTCCCCGTAGAGCTTTTTTCCCCCTGCAGCTCTTGTTTTGTCTACCAAGAGCAGCCCAGGCTTCCCRGGATGGGACTGGCACTTTCTGCTTGCAGGCTACCCCGCTGCTTGCGACATGAAGAAATACGCCGGGGAGCTACGCGATTTCACTCCTGGCACCTCGGGATACACAGCCTACTGGATCCAGAACGACACCAACATTCGCTCTGGGGCGAAAAACAAGAGAAAACGATAAGTAACGGGTGGATGGTTCCCAAAAAGAGCTCGATTCAGCTCTGCCAGAGTGTTACTGGGCACGTGGGGCTCCACTCCGTTAACAACCCACAGTTAGACTTCTGGCTACCTACTTGTTCTCTCTGTTCTTCAGCTGGGTGGTTATTTGCGCTCTCGGTCTATGTACTTACTGTGTTTTGGTTAGACAGTGAAGAGATCGGTGGAATTGACCTGGAAATTCCACGCTGAATCTCTGGAGCACTTGGGGATTTAGGAATGATCCGTGCTTGGCTTATCCTTAACGTGTATTTACCTACCTGTCTCCGCTTGCTGTAAAAGTTTCTTCTTTAGAAATTGAAATAAATTCCATGGGGAACTTAAATAAAGACCATTGTCTTACAGAGGAGCAAAGCCTTTGCCTCCTTATTTGTATGAGGGAGTTGCTTCTCCGGTGGCTGTGAGCAGTTATAGGACACACGGAAGCGTCACTGCCTGCTCGCACAGGGGCCAACCCCGATTAGRAAAGGGAGGGAAGGAGGGAGAAATGGCYGGGCGCAGCCGGGAGACCCGGCACGGTCGCGGAGCAGCGGGCGCCCCGCGCTGGAGCTCGCCCGTGCGGACACCGCACTCACCCTCTCGCGCCTGCTCCGCCAGCCCTGCGCGAGCAGCTGGAAAGCCTGGGAAAACTCCCCGAGCAGGTTTGTGGATGATCCCAAAYTGGGTGGAGTGGCTGACACTCCAGAKGGCTGTGCTGCCATCCAGAGGGAYCTGGACAGGCKGCAGAGCTGGGCAGAGAGGAACCTCATGAGGTTCAACAAGGACAAGTGCAGGGTCCTGCACCTGGGCAGGAATAACCCCAGGCACGAGCACAGATTAGGGGTTGACCTGCTGGAGAGCWGCYCTGCAGAGAGGGACCTGGGAGTCCTGGTGGACACCAAGTTTGCCATGRGGCAGCAGGGACCTYRTGGCCAAGAAGGCCAATGGGCTCCTGGCTGCATCAGGAGGATGKTGCCAGCAGGTCGAGGCCTCCCTCGATTCTGCCCCTCTACTSAGSTCTGGTGAGGCCAAACCTGGAGTACTGTGTGCAGTTCTGGGCTCYCCAGYATAGAGGGACGTGGAGCTGCTAGAGAGGGTCCAGCGGAGAGCAACAAAGATGATTAAGCGACTGGAAYATCTCTCGTACGAGGAGAGACTGAGGGAGTTGGGCCTGCTCAGCTTGGAGAAGAGAAGGCTRAGAGGGGATCTGATCAACATGTGTAAGTTCATGAAGGGGAATGTAGGGAGGAAGGGGCCAGGCTCTTCTCAATAGTGGCCAGAGACAAGACAAGGGGCAATGGGTACAAGTTGAAACCCAGGCAGCTCCATCTCCAGGTGAGGAGGAACTTCTTCACTGTGAGGGTGCCAGAGCCCTGGCACAGGCTGCCCGGGGAGGTTGTGGAGTCTCCTTCTCTGGAGGTCTTCAAAACCCACCTGGATGTGACAGGGTGCCCCATGCTCTTGATGTCCCTGCTGGAGCAGGAAGCTGGACTAGATGATCTCTAGAGGTCCCTTCCAACCTTGAACATTCTGTGATTCTGTGAAAACTGCCCACCTCAAAGCCTTGGAGAGAGTCCCAGGAAGCCAGTAATGCACAAGGATCAGCCCTCCCCATCCATGTGCAAGTAGCCTGGGAAAGGACGAGCAGGCCCAACTGGTTTCCCACGTTTATTGGAAAAAGAGTGACACAGAGCGACGGCCTCAGAGGGCTCCTCGGGGTGTTTTGAAGTTCATCCCCACCGTGGGCTGTGTGACCTGCAGGTTGGACAGGCTGCCRAAGTCCTGGAAGAGAGAAGGGGAAAGGTCACTCAGCACCACCCGCCCCGGCCTCTCCCCAGCGGAGCGGCAAGGGAAGGAGGATCCACATCTCAGACGTGGCACCACGTGAGGTTTTTCCGGAAACACGGCAGGTTTCTGATGCAGGGGGACACAAGCGCTCCCCTTTTCCAGCGTTTCAAGCCCCAGYTCGAAGCCCCACCGACCCCCGGAGGCCAATGGGGCTCGGCCTCCTTSCTGCCTTTGAGCACAGGGACCAACTGCCCGGCCCATTCCTTTGTCGGGAACATTCCCATCTTTAACCTGGGTTATGAAGCCCCTCTCTGCACGCGTGGCACTGCCGGAGCACCACTGGCGGCCTTGGCAGGGCTACCCAAGGCAGAAGCCCCCCGCACCTACAGGAGGATGGCTCCACTCACCAGAAGCTTCAGCATCTCCTTGGTGTCAGGGTCCACCTCAATGATCTCCTGGTCAAGCGCGGAGACCTGGGGACGGCAGAGAGATGAAGCGCCACGCAGAGCCCCATCCACGCTGCCACCCATCCCAATAAGCCCTGGACCAAGAGCTCCAGCACCAGCTGGAAGACCCCCGCAAACGGAGCATCAGATGGAACTRCTTCTGATGGAACTGCTTCCTCAGGAGCCGGCAGGTCCGGCCTTGACCTCTGCCTGGTCCCTGGGGAGCAGCTTCGCTCCAGCCTGGCTCAGCATGACCAAAACGAAGCAGCGAGGGTGAGCTCCAAGCGGGGAAGACAACACCTCACAAGCTGCTCCAACATTCCTGCCATCCTAACTGTTCTTCCCAGAGCCAGGATTTGATCATCGCTGAAACAAGGTGCCACAGAGACAGTCCCCGGCACTGGTGATGTGCAAGGGCTGAAGGGCAGAGCTTGGGAGCGGCCGTTTCTTCCCGTGCTGTGCGCAGGACAACGGCTGTAGCCGAGGCGGAGCAGGGGACCGGGCAGGGCAGGACGGGCGGCAGCAGCGTGTGTGAAAGCTCCAGGGTTTGGGAGGGATGGCCGCACACCCACCAAACACGGGAAACGCTTCCGGGCTGCTCTTCCTGCACTATCAATGACCAGGTCACGCACCAGACCGCGATCACTTTCGAATGCAGGGTGAAGGCGAGGGGCTCGAGCCGGCGTTTCCGCACAGCGGCACGCTGCTCCCCAGCCTCCTTTTGGAGCCTCCCCAGGAGGTTCCCCAGCCTCCTGGTGCTGCTCTGGACTCGCAGATCTTTACCCACCACCCCCCTKTAGTGACACCTGCTGCACACTCGTTTTTAAGCCACTCTTCTGCCTAACGTTGTTATGATTTCCTCACTGTAAGYTAGGAAAGTCGAGGATGGACATCCCTGTCCGCCTGCAAAGCGGCGGGGGAGTCAACAAACAACAAGGTAACTGYTCTCGCCGAACCTCATGGTAAAATTCCTTGAGGAAAAGCTGGGAGTGCCTCAGATACGCTCCCATTCAGCCCAAATCCTCCCTTATACCCACTCAGAACAGAGGTTTTCAGGAGTTAAGGACCAGTAAGGAAAAATTTCTCTATCTAGGTGTTTTTTACGGGCGGGCTCCCCCTGAGAGCGCTAAGCAGCAGGCCGGGCACTCAGCGTGTGCCGCCAGACACCCAAGGGAGCCCCCGCGCGCGCCTGCCCCTCACCTCCGGGACGTAGTTATCCCTCCTCTCCCGCTCCTCCTCCTGCAGCTTGATGGAGATGCCTCTGACGGGGCCCCTCTGGATGCGCTTCATCAGGTGGGTGACGTAGCTGCGGGGCGAGCAGAGCGTGCACCGGGCCGGCCTCCCGCCTCCCCCCCGGCCCTCCAAGGCGCCGCGCGCTCCGCCCGGCCCCGGGGGCGACTTCCCGGCCGCGTCGGCGCCAGGGCCGTGTCCGGGAGCACCAGGGTCTGGCGGGGATGGAGGCGCCGCCGCCACACACGGGAAACGCTCCCGCCGTCGCTCTCCCTGCGCTATCAATGACCGGGTCAYGGGCGAGACCGCGATCACTTTCGAACGCAGGGGGCAGCACGAGCCGCCCCGCGGGACACGGGTCACATTCCATGCGGCATTTCCATAGGATGCGTCCCAGAGGGCATTTCCAGGGGATACATCCCACGGGAAATGTCCTAGGGGTCACGTCCCACAGGGCACATCCCACGAGGTAGGTCCCACGGGACATTTCCAGGGGTCATGTCCCACAGGACACATCCCACGAGATAGGTCCCATGGGACACGTCCCAGGGGGCATTTCCAGGGGATACATCCCACGGGAAATGTCCTAGGGGTCACGTCCCACAGGACACGTGCCACGAGACAGGTCCCATGGGACACATCCCAGGGGGCATTTCCACGGGTCACATCCCACGGGACACATCCCACAGGACACGTCCCACGTGGCATTTCCACGGGACACATCCCACAGGACACGTCCCATGGGTCGCACCCCACATGGAATTTCCACAGGACGCATCCCTGTCCCACGGGTCCCGTCCCACAGGTCCCGTCCCACAGGACACATCCCACAGTACATGTCCCACACGGCATTTCCCATGGGACACATCCCACGGGACACATCCCAGGGAACGTTTCCACGGGTCGCATCCCACAGGACATGCCCCAGGGGTCATGTCTCACGGGACACGCCCCACGGGTCACGTCCTATGGGTCCCGTCCCACAGGACACGTCCCACACGGCATTTCCACGGGTGCCGCCCCACGGCGCGGCGCCGCCGCTCACCCCGCGATCTTGTTGCGCAGCTTCTTGCTGGGGATGATGGCGATCTCCTCGCAGACGCGCTTGTTGGTGTGGAAGTCGTTGCCCAGGCGCGTGTAGTACTTCTCGATGATGACGCGCGCCGCCTTCTTCACCGTCTTGGTCCTCACGCGGCCCTGGGCGGGAACAGG